GCAGAAGCAGGTACTTCAGCAGTAACTACCACCGCTACTAATGTTAGAAAATAAGTCAACTATTTGTAGTTGTAAAACTAAAAACTCCAGGCTAAGCTGCAGGTGTAAACTACACCTGTAGTTTGTTTGCCCTTGAGTACCAGGGGGCCCGTTGTCTTTAGCCTGTGCAAGTCCAGGGACTTTGTATGAACTTACTGACGGCTGCGCCCTTGAAAAGGAGCTGAAAGACTGATAGAAGGAGAACATCCTGCCCTAGAAGGCGCTGAAGGCTGGATAATTGCCTGAGAAGGATGAAGTCAGCAAGAATCTGCAGAAACTGGGGGAAAGCTAAATGCAGCAGGAGGAGATCACGACCACCAACTCAATTAGAGACCGAACATATTTACCTCCCCCCGTATCAGAGCATGCGCTCTGAATTTTTGTGTACTGTGCTCTTAGAAGGTCAGCGAGAGCGTTTAAGCCAATCGAAGCAGAACAGTCATGCATATGGATAGTGGCTGGAACAAGCTCATCAGTGATGTATAATTGTGTGACGTTTTGCAAACTCGGTGCGCTAGATTTGTGGTGATACAGCCCTGGCACCCAGCACTGAATAAAGTAATGCCTGATCTTTAATACACATCTTGTGTTAAGGAGTTTTATTCCCGATTTCAGTGACACAAAGACGTCTTCATTTACACAGTCCGTGTCTGTCTGTGGCACTCTCTAAGCTGCAACCAACTAGCCGGGAGCTGGTTCTCAAGCTTTTCAGATATCCCTTTTCCTGGGATGTCAATGTCTGGGAGGTAAGCAGAAGCTTTAACTATTTCAATCATTTGCCTGAATTTCTCAAATATTGTGCCATGAAAAGCGTTCACAAGGGCTGCACAGCAAGTTTTCAGTGAATGCAGATCTCTTTTGCCCCAGTCGTTGCCATAAGCAACTAGGCTGTTTGTCCTTTCTTACAGGGCTGCTACCCATCTACTCAACAGCCACAAGCAAAACGGGATACTGCATCAAACCAGTGCCCCATGTGGTCCTTTCTCAGTCTCAGTCCATTTAACTGTCTAGCTAGACAGTGAGCTCCCAGCCATAAACATTCTGCCTTGGACCCAAGCAGACAGAAGAACTTTCCTCTTTCTCAGTTGGAAGACCATTACATGCCCTGACTCCAATGCAATTTGTTTTCTTCTGTTGTGTGTGTTACTTTGTGTCTTTGGTTATTTGAGGAGGAAAAAAAGATAACTACTGCTTCAACTTTCCTGAGTTATTGTTTAATGAATCCATATGTAAAATGTTCAGTTTCAGAATCTGAATTACAAAATAATCCTCTGGGAGATCATAGTTAGCCTGTCAACATTATCTGTAGCACATTGTTCTGATTAATCTCTTTTGGAAGAAATAGTTTACCAATAATTATGCTGAGCTTTACTTGATACCATGTTCCAAAGAGGCAACTTAATAAAGAGCAATAAAAATGTGTATGCTGGTTCATGAAGGTGTTCTAAGAGTTCAAGACTTGGAAGTTGCCTTACTGAAGTTCTGGGGCTCAACAGTTTTCATTTGCAACACAACATATGTAATATCCCTAGATGTAAGAGATTTTGTAGTATCTCAAAAGACCACACATCTTTAGAAAGTAGGAAGAATTTACATTAAACAAGATGTGGCTATATGTTAATATAGCTATAATATTTATTTTTATGACTTTGTAAGAACAATCAATGCCCAGCCATTTCAGACTTTGGCATGAACGAGTAGCTTATACTGACTTTTTGCTCCAAATCTAATAAACATTGCTATTTTAGTATCATTTATATGAATAATTTTATGGAATGAATGCAGATTGTTTTATTCAGTTCACATTTTGTTTTTGTTCAATCAATTTTCAGTGTAAATTATACTTATTCTAATAGTATAAAAATCATCCTTCTGGGTACAAAACTAATTTGTATTTGCATTTTTTACACCAAGTAAAATGATGAACAGTGATGGCAGACTCAATTTTAGAACAATAACTGTAAATTAAAGGAAGTGTCAAGACTTCAATAAAAAACAAACATTGAATATCTTGTTGTCCCGATAATTTTAAAAAAACACTGAGTAGAAAACAATTTAAAATAACCTTAGCACTTCAGAGTTTTCAAGCACTGTGTAAGCACCTATTAACACTCACACATCACCCCAGGCATTGGGAGCTGTCCCTGTTTCAGAGAGGTAAGAAAGGGAAAGAACAAGGTGGTTTACCCCTGGTCGTAGAGGTGAGCATTCAAGTCAGTATTATATTTCAGAAGCTCCCGACTCCCTTTTGATACTCAAACCACAGTCCTTTTTTTGCAGGGATGGGAGTAGGAGGAGGCAAAGGGGAACAGGGTAGGTTTCCCATGCTTTCCGTTTGAGAAACCTGATTTCTACAATGACTGTCCTGATGAAAAGAGTGTGGTTCCAACTTTTGCCTGGTTTCCCTTCTTGCTTCACTTCATGCCTGCTATCACCTCTTCTGCTTTCCAGCTGTAGACTGAAGATGGGTTCCATGTGGAAAGCAAAGTTGGAAATAAAAGCTTACTGAATTATAAACTTTTCCCAAGTCTTACCATCACTTTTAATAGCATAAAATTGTCACTCCAGCAAAGTGGTATTCACAGCTAGGATCTTTCTACTGTTTTCCCTGTTTTTCTTTTACAGGTAATTAGAAAAAGGGTCAGACAGAAAAAGTCTCACACGGTTGGGCAGCCTGTAATAGTGAGTGAGGTGGTGTGTGTGATGTCAAGGGAGATTACAGTTTAGGAGGATAAGACAAAAGATGACAAGAAAACCATAAATTTAAAATGTTTTATATTTAACATTTGTAATAATTATTTCACAGTCTAAAATGAATGCAACTTAAAAAAAAATGCCCTATCCATTTCTACCGCCTGATTGGAATCATTATTAATACTAGGGAGAAAATAATTCAAGTTTTTGCATCCAGGACAATTCTAGTAAGTCACTGTGGACTAAACAAATAAAAAGGGATATTACAATGCTATTCAATACAAATCCTACATTTCAAAGTTTTAAAGGAAATTCATTATTTAAAAATCTTTGCACTTCTATAATTAACTAACTGTTTGTACAGTGTATATAAAAATTGTTGAGATTATAATTTCTGGGAAAAGTGAGTATATCATACTACTGTAACTAAAAACTTGCATCAAGTAAGTTACTTGATGTCCCTTATATATAAAAAAGGACATTTTTAAAAGTAGTGTCCATATGTCATGGCAAGATTTCAAGTTCCTTTAACTCTGGCTACAAATGTTCATTTGAGACCTTATAGAGTTCTTTAAGCTTGTCAAACTTTGACCCCCATTCTTGGAGGCAATCATAATTTAGATCTTCATCAGCACAAGTGGAGTCTAAGGAACTAAGGCTCCCTGCTAGAGAACACTGCCCTTCTAAGCAGTAAAAATGAATACTGTCAGCTGGAAGACTCTGTAGATCATTGTCTGCATCCCAGATGATTTGAGAAACATATTCCTTGAAGTCTGGGACACTGGTAACAGCTGATGGTGATTGTTTCTGATGTGCATGTTTTGGGAGTGAGTTTATTTTTGGGTCAGTGGGTGTCCTGGAGAGTGGAGCAGCTGCCCTCAAGGAGAAGTGGGAAATGGTATGGAGAGGTTTCTTCAGTTCATCTATATCGTAAGCATTCTGTGAAAAAAAGAATGCAGATATCAGAGAGAAACAACACAAAAGGAAACCAAAAAATATCTTAAAACTCAATGCAACACAAAACTAGATTCTGTGAGTTTTCTGCAAACTGAAGAAAAGAGAGGGCCTAGTTCAGGTAACACCAAATCCCTTTGCATACTCAGTCTTCAGCTAAAGCAAGAACGCTGTGTCCAGAGCAGTCCCTTCAAAGGTGGTCACAGATGACCAGCATCAGGAAAGGTACAGATTGGCTTGAAATAGAAGCCTCTCACTTATGAGTAATTCAGGTTAAAAAAAAAAAAAAAAAAAAAAAGCCAATTGGATAAGGACAGTAAGTTAAATAAAAGGTTAAAAGGTCTGGGAAAGGAAGGTGAGGAGAGGTTGGATTTACAAAGACTGGATTGAGGAGAGGTTGGATTTACAAAGACTGGATTGAAGTTGCATCATACCTGGTCACATTCTCCACCTCCTTCTTCATTATAATTGAAGACATTTTCTCTAACATCCTCCCAGCTTTCACGCTCTTCAGGAATATGGTAAATTCCTCCTTTCCGAAACCCTGAGCTTCCCCACTGACTCCACACGGTGTAGGAGACCAAGAGTGCTGGAAGAAATAAAGACACATATTTGTTATATGACAAAGTATGATACATGATAAACAAGTAGTTATATGACTCCTGAGATATTAAATCAACTCTTAATTTGACAACCACATCCCCAGGTAAGAAATGCGCAATTGTTAATACGTAAACAACTTATATTCAGGAATGTAAAGAATCAACTATGTATATTACATCATAAACTTCATTAAAAGGGTATTTTACTTACCTAAAGGAATCCATTTAAATAGAAGGCATTTTGGCCAATCTCTGGCCTTTCACCAATCCTGAGTAAATAAGACACCCAAAGTAAGTAAAACACTGTTTTAATGAAGGTTGCAAGTGTAATATAATCATGGAGTCTTTACTGTTCTGAGATGTGTAAGCAGTTTTTCTTTAGCAATATGAGAAACAGTTTTATGGTGCTATTAACTTCCCAGCCAAAGTGTGCCTGAAACTAGACACAGTGTGAACATCTCTTTCTGCCCCACACTCTTAATGAGGCTTGCCTGTTAAGATCATCAACTTTCCAGAGAAAGATCTCTGCCTTCCTAATATGTGACTAGCACGTGCTAGCTGTAGGTCCTACCTAATACAAATGTAAGGGCTCAGGGCAAGTGGGTGTTTCAGGTGGATGTGGCTGCACACAGATTTGCACACACAGATGGAAAGCTCTTATTTAAGAAGGATTCAAAATAACTGATTCTGAAAGAGAGAAGTCTTAAATTTGCTTAAACTGTCTTCAAAGCAAGTAAGCTGTAACTATGTGCTGATGCCTGTCTTTTAGCATCCTCAAATAAACTCCCAACTGGTAATCTCCAGAAAAATTGAAACATAGATCACAACATCCATGGGTAAAGCAGACTTGACTCAATGGAGCAAAGTACAAGATTAAAAAGAATGAAAAAAAAAAGTACTTGCTTTCCTACCTAGGAAGACGAGGAGGCACATGCTGATTGCCAGAATTGAGCCAGAGCTGAGTCCAACGGGTCTTCCAGCCTTCACCTGGCTAATTTCACACCACCTTCCCTTGTAACCTTCAGGGCATTGGCAGATAATCTTGTCTTGGGATTGAGCCACACAGGTACCCCCATTCCTACAGGTCCAGTGTCCACAAGGTGATGAGGTACAGTGTCTGAGACCTGTAAGGTTGTCAGTCACTTCTACTTTCCCAGCTGGACACCTGAACAACAAAAGCAGAAGATACGTTTTAGGCAGGCAAAGCACCTGGAGTTGTACATTGTTTTGTGCAAAGTTTGTTAGTGTTTCTTTACAGCAAATAATTAAAGTCTTTTCAAGCAAACCTCAAATCCACATTGAGAGTATGAACTAGATGTAAACTTTAATGTAGTGAGCTAGTAGGCTTACGAAAACATGAACATATGTTCTGCTGTCCCCATCCAGAAGATCTGCAGAAGACCTTCTCTCCTTCCTTAAAAAATGAAGAGGTCTGTTAAAAGAGGAAGGCATCTGTTCAGCTTCTGAGAAGACTGACCCTTTTCCTACAAACACGTAGAAAAATCCTGCACCTGGGTCAGGGCAATCCCAAGCAGAAATACAGGCTGGGCAGCGAATGGACTGAGAGAAGCCCTGAGGAGAAGGGCTTGGGGGTGTTTGTTGATGAGAAGCCCAAAATTGCTGAGCTGGCAATGTGCGCTCGCAGCTCAGAAGGCCAACTGTGTCCTGGGCTGCATCAGGAGGAATGTGGCCAGCAGGTCAAGGGAGCTGATTCTGCCCCTGTATTTCACTCTGGTTCAGCTCTGGGGCCCCCAACACAAGAAGTACATGGACCTGTTGGAGCAAGTCCAGAGGAGGGCCATGAGGATGATCAGAGGGCTGGAGCACCTCTCCTATGAGGACAGGCTGAGACAGTTGGGGCTGTTCAGCCTGGAGAAGGGAAGGCTCTGGGGAGACGTTTTGGCAGCCTTTCAATACTTAAAGGGTGCCTAAAATAAAGCTAGAAAGGGACTTCTTACAAGGGCATGTAGTGATAGGATGAAAGGTCACAGTTTCAAACTGGAAGAGGGTAGATTTATATTAGATATTAGGAAGAAATTCTTTCCTGTGAGGGTGGTGAGACACTGGAACAGGTTGCCCAGAGAAGTTGTGGATGCCCCCTCCCTGGAAGTGTTTAAGGCCAGGTTGGATGAGGCTTTGAGCCACCTAGTCCAGTGGAAGGTGTCCTTGCTGATGGCAGGGGGTTTGGAACTAGATGGTCTTTAAGGCCCCTTCCAACCCAAACCATTCTATGTTCAAAACCCCTAGAAGAAAATGGATGCCTGAGATCAATGAGATTAGCAAGCACTTAGTACAAGCTTTGTAATATTCATCTGGGCCTTTGGGAAAGAGATATCACTGACCTCCTCAGAAAGACCCATCTCATCTTTTAGGACTTTAATTGGCAGAGAAAATGATTTCTTCTGATATGTAATCAGAGAGGCTGTGCAGGAATACTGTGAGGAGCATGGACCTGCTTTCTGAAGTCTAAAGAAGAAATACTATTGAATAAATGGAAGAGCCTTTATATTGTTCTTTCACAAGTGGACTGAAGAAGGGAGTGTCCCAAGGCACACTTAAGACTCACAGCTCTTTCAGCAATGAATCACCAGGCCTCAGAAATGCAAATTTTGGCTGAATTGAAGGAATTCAAGAGGCACCTTCTCCCAGTCCTATGTGTAAGTATATTTGGCTTTTTTGAGCAGAAATGCTGGTATTTTGATTTGCATATTTTAACATATGTTTTGAAAAAATTCTTTAAAGAGTGGATCTTCTCCAAGGAACTAACTGCGTAGGATACCAGCTGATGGGCTTTGGTTCTGGCCCTGGGTAGCCAATTTTAACATCCAGTTTTGTAAAAGTCTAATTTTGAAAGTTTTATTGTTTCATACAAAGTATGACTAATTTCAACTTCTTCACAGAAAATGTATGTGTATACATATAGCATATATGCAGTATATATTTTATACATATATGTATACACAATATATACAGACTATATCAAAATACATAGTATTTTCACACAGAGTGGCAGAAATCAAAGCTTTTGCAATCCGTTTTTTTTATGAAAGGGAATTTCATTTCCTCACTGTCGTGTGATCTTCTCACAATGGGAAAAAATAGTGGAGTAAATAGGTTCCATGTTGGACTTGCAGGAAAAGGCAAGTTTGGCTCATGATGGGAGATGAGATGGTGAATAGGATTTGTCATGGGGATGCCTCTCTCTGGCCAGCAGCAGCAGGGATTTTCAGGGTAAAAAGCAAGTTGCCTGACCTGTGGTAGAAAGAAAGAGCTTCCCAACCACCCTTCAGTGAAAATAGAAATTTAATGTACCGGCATTCATATTTTCTCCACAGATCTACGCAAAGAAAAGGGCTGTAACAGGGCTGGCTGCTGCAGGCACTGGAATAGCATCCCATCGTGACACCTTGTCGCCTGAGAATTAAGCCAAACTCTGCGCTTTTGCTTTCCACAAGAAGCGGCTGACCATTCAGCTGGACATCACGCATACAACCTGCATCAAAGCAGAGGAATACACAGAGAAATACATTGAGTTAACAACTTCCCCACCTCAAGCCTTTCCCCCAACACATATACAGGGGATCTTAAAGCATTGTAGAACACTTAAAACATATTTTATAAAGATCCTTATACTGCTTATCAGTTTTATTTTAGAAGAAGAGCTACAGGACATGTGCTTATGTGCCCTGGCCAACCTACAGATTGACAATACTTCTCCAAGACAGCCTGGTTGTACCAATACAATGATTTATCAGAACTATACTATGAAAGAGAAGAGCTCCACTAAATTAATCTAGATTTAAAATATGATCTTAAAAGTGGGGCTGAATGAGAAGCAACATAATGGAAAAAACTGTCTTCTGCTGAGCCACAATCTCCAGTCCCAGGATTCCACTCCAGGAAATGGAAAGCGCACCATGAATTGCCTTGCAAATCCTTCTCCTACCAGGAGGTGCTGTATCTGTACTTTAAATCCTTCTGAGGCAAAAAGGGAGTGAAGATCACAGAGTTCCCTGCTTGGGTCCTCTGGCATGGGAAATAAAAACCTGAAGTGCTGTTTTTTTAATATCTACAGGAAATCTCACATCTTCACTACGACTAGATACAATGGCAAACAAAGAGTTGAACATTGTCTCTGAATTTCTGATTAGAGGAGGTGGGATTTCATGGGCACAGTATTCTCCATGGGAATTCTTACCTGGGTTTTAGACTCTCCAGTACACTCAAAGATGCCACTTTTAGGCTTTAATTCCCCCCTTTTAGGAACCAGCCATATCACTTACCTTGGAAATTGCTCTCTGAATGATTGGGAAGGCGGTTTCCTAGCACGATGCTTGTCCAATCCATTTCAAACCATCTTTTTGTACCCAAGACAGAGGTCACTTCTTGATCACCTCCACCACTGTTAACACGCAGGGTAAATTCATTGTTGTAGCGCTCCATGGTCAGAAGAACCCACTGGCCATTGTTTATATGTAATGTCCTCATTCTCAGAGAGTGATTTTTGTCCCCCAAGCTGAAGTTAACACTAAAGAAACCCTCAACCACCTAGAAGATGATGATGGAGACCTTTAATAATAGAAATGCACTTCTAAATGTTATTACACAGTCTTGCATCAAATTTTTAAAATTAAAATTACACTCTTGTTTTTAAGTGTTTTATTCCCAGATAAAAACTAGCACAAGAAAACTGCAGGTCCAGAAATTATCAACTCTTTTCTTTACAGGCCACTCTTTTAACTCAGATGAACCTTTTTATCAATCTTCTCTCTATTGAAGTCTACCTCTAAGTCTTCCCAGCTGGCCCTCCTGTTACAATTGGAATAATTAGCCTCTGTCTTGCTAATATAATCCAGACTGCTTTTTTCAACAGCAACAAAAATGTAGAGACAAGTTTTTTAGCCAGAGACGGATAAAGCAAAGGGAAAAGGCAAACAAGACAAAAGAGTTTTTATCATTCACATGTATCACATGCACCGATCTGTACTTTTTACAGTGAAACAACTAGAATCTGTGTTATCAAAGCGTAATACTGAGAAGGACAACACAAATGAGAGTAGTTACCCTCATGGAAAATTCTTGGTTTTTATTACATTAAAGAATAAGTCTCCTTAATCAGAAACTGCATCCTTTTCTCTTACTGGGGTACTCCATGATGAATTAAGAACACTGAAACAGGATGGCTTTGGGGCTGCTCACCTCCAGTCGGATGTATCCATTTCCATCTGCAGAGGCCAAGCTGAGAAGGGTGCTGTGGGAGATACGGGTGCGCACCATCAGCTGGATCTGAGTGCTGTGAGTGCTGAGGATGCTTCTCGGCTCATAATGGATCCAACTGTCCCTTCCAAAAGCCCATTCTGGAAGAGCTAAGGACAATACAGACAAAATCAAAGTGAAGATCTCAGAAATTACTGCTCACTCAGATCTCCACTGCTTGAGAGTTAACTAATTCTCAATGTCAGAATTTTAGGTCTTAAGAAGCTTTAACAACATAATAAAGCATCCTGGAAACTAAAGCATCAAGGAAACTACAGCATCATGGAAACTACAGCATCATGGAACTACAGGCCTGTCAGTTTGACTTCAGTGCAGGGGAAGCTGATGGAGCAGATCATCCTGAGTGCCATCACACAGTACATGCAGGACAACCAAATGATCAGGCCCAGTCTGCATGGGTTTATGAAAGGCAGGTCCCGCTTGACTAACCTGATCTCCTGTTTAACATCTTTATCAATGACCTGGCTGAGGAGATCGAGGGCACCCTTAGTAAGTTTGCAGATGACACCAAGCTGGGGTGGAGGTGTTGATCTGCTTGAGGGTAGGGAGGCTCTGCAGAGGGATCTGGACAGGCTGGATCGATGGGCCAGGACCAATTGCATGAGTTTCAATAAGGCCACATGCCGGGTTCTGCACTTTGGCCACAGCAACCCCCAGCAGTGCTACAGGCTTGGAGAGGAGTGGCTGGAGAGCTGCTCAGCAGAGAGAGACCTGGGGGTGTTAATTGACAGCTGGTGGAACATGAGCCAGCAGTGTGCCAGGGGCCCAAGAAGGCCCATGTTCCAGTGTTTCACCACTCTCATCATAAAAATTTCTTCTTTGTATCCAATCTAAACCTACCCCCTTTTAGTTTAAAACCATTACACCTTGTCCTATCGCTACAGGCCCTCCTAAAAAGTCTGTCCCCACCTGTCTTATAGGCCCCCTTTAAGCACGGAAAGGCCACAATAAGGTCTCCTCGGAGCCTTCTCTTCTCCAGGCTGAACAGCCCCAACTCTCTCAGCCTGTCCTCATAGGAGAAGTGTTCCATCCCTTTGCTCATTTTTGTGGCCCTCCTCTGGATCTGCTCCACCAGGTCCATGTCCTTCCTATGCTGGGGACTCCAGAACTGGACGCAGTACTGCAGGTGGAGTCTCACCAGAGCGGAGTACAGGGGGAGAATCACCTCCCTCGACCTGTTGGCCACGCTTCTTTTGATGCAGCCCAGGATATAGTTGACCTTCTGGGCTGCAAGGGCACATTGACGGCTCATGTCCAGCTTTTCATCCACCAGTACCCCCAAGTCCTTCTCCGCAGGGCTGCTCTCAATGCCTTCATCCCCCAGCCTGTATTAACACTGGGGATTGCCCTGACCCAGGTGCAGGACCTTGCACTTGGCGTTTTTGAACCTCATGAGGTTCACACAGGCCCACTTGTCAAGCCTGTCCAGGTCCCTCTGGATGGCATCCTGTCCCTCAGGCGTGTCAACCGCACTACTCAGTTTCATATATCAAATGATCAGAAGATTTAATTTCTGCACTCTCCTTTCCTCTCACTGTTTCTCCTCTCTCTTTTCTTTCATAAAGCATATTTTCTTTTCTCCTCCAGCTTATTCCCCTTGTATTACTCTTCCTATCCCATTGTTTTCTCTTGTTTACTTCTGCAGCTACAGGTTCTAGCTGATGAGCAGGGATGGATTTTCTTAGGACACTACAGTGACTCCTGTCCCCAGCTGTCTGCTCCTTGCTGCGAGCACGACTCAGCCATTCATAAAGCATCAGCTGAACACCAGCATTTTGCAGCCCAATATATTAGAAGAAGCTGGAACCAACCAAAGTTTTCCTGTTACCTCAGGATATGACTTATGGATTTCAAGTAATTACTTTCTGGGCACTTGGTTTGTCCCACAGTGGTGAGTGGCAGGGGCCAATACAGCAGTTGGGCTTTTGAACCAGCATCCCAAGAGAATGCAAAGCAGAGTAAGATTTAAATCTAGGCAGATGTTTATAAACCAGTATCATCTGTCTGCAAAACACCAACACAAATAACTGAACTATATTAATCATTTCCATGGTCATTATAAACACTTTAAACAGCGAGGGCTCCAGGCCTATAGTGTACCAATTACAATTCCTCACCCCACAGAACAGACAGAGCTTCTGATGAGTAATTTACTACCACACATTTTAAGTCTTTGTGTGGCAGATGGAGAAAGTACGAGAGGGTCTGGCTGCCTGCACAGGGTATTGTTGTTCTGTATACAAGAAGGAAAAGTGAGCGCATTGAGCCGAAAGGACATGGGTAATACACCATCAGTCCTGTCTATTAATCACAACACATTGATTCAACACTAGCTTGCACGTGCTCCTTTCCAGCTGCTCACTGCTGCTTATCCTCACCTGCATCTCGCTCAAACTACAGGACTGAGGGGGCTAATTCTCCTACAACACTACACAAAGCCCACAAAGTTATGAGGCAGTAGTGCTCACTATAGGCTGTTATGATCAACCCTATCGTTTGTACCTTGTACCTAGAGGGAGAAGGCAGACACAGGGCAGGTAAGGTCCCAATAAAGACCTGCAACTCAATTCTGATTTGTGCTTCAGAGCAATGGCTGTTGAAGGCACTACGATAGGGAGGACAAAGCCAACTTCAAGTGTGTGTCCGCTGTATCCTGAATGTGGCTGTGGGCTACTAGGAGCTCAATAATTTATTTCCTAGATTTTTGAATTGTGCTAAAATTTTTCACTTTCTTACAATGTCTCTGAGGTTTTCATCACCCACCCTTGCACGCTTTTGTTCTCTGATATGTATTTCATGCTGATTTTGTGCAGCATAACACATTTGCTGGAGCCAGCCTGATATTATGTCCCCACATGCACCCATTGCTGTGGTCTAGGGGCCTTGCACAACCTTCAACTCATGCCATTGAAAGAGGCAAATGCAATTATCCCCATTTTATAGGAGGAAAATTGCTCCTGAGGGCTTGAGGGCTGTGTCCCCAGGTTTCACAGCAGAGAACATACCAAGCTGGCAACCCAATCACTCTTATGATCACTGTAAGGCAATAAATAGTACTACATTAATTAAACCACATGTTGTGATCGTTACCATCAGAGGAAACAGATACAATGCAGAATGTTTCATCTTTCACCACCGAGAAATAAGTTGCTGTGATGAAAGGGACAAAACAACCCATCTGATCACTTGCCTCTCCTGTAAAGTAAAGCAGGTCTCAGCAAGACCCTCATCTGTGACATTATCTTTATTCAACAAGAGTTAGAAGGATTTTTACATTGCCGCAGATCTAAATCATTCCCAGAGTACAGCATGGCCTCATTAAGCTTCTCAGTTCAAAGTTGTGGCAAATTTAAAGCAGTATGTTTGATGCTGTACCCACAGATCTCCATCATTAATTTCTCCCTAGAACCTGCAGTACCTTTTTCACACGCTGGTCCAGCATATCCCGGGGAACAGTCACAGCGAAAGAAGTCCCAACCACCAACACACTTGCCATGGACACCACAGGAGGCCATTCCTCCTCTCTGACACATCTCATCCGTAAGGACACAGCCGGGTGCACTGTTCAAGGACTCTGCAGGGTGCTCTAAATCATAGACCTGGGAAAGGACAAACAGAAGTGTCACATCAGGTGTCTACAGTTAACAGCAGTAAACTCAAGACTGCTCTTAGTAGCCTTACCTGACTATCAACAATGACATTGCGGATGCAGCCAACAAACCCTCTGAAGAGCCTTTGTGAATCCAGGTAAGGCAAGGTCTTCTTAACTCCACCCAGCTGCAGGGGCTGATGGCCACTGAAGAGCCTAGCCAGGCTGAAGGGAAGGAGAAGGAAAGAGATAATTAGTGGCATGCAAAATACAGCAATTTGTCTGAATTCTTTTTCCTTTGCTATTTTGAGCAATTATGTTTCCAATTCATTTTGGCTTTTTTGTTTGTTTGGTTTTTTTTACCTCTGAGTTCCCACAGTCTCTTCAGAGGCTTCACAGGCAGACAAATCCATTTGGGAGATCTTCTTGACAACACTGTCATCACCTCTAACTGAGACATTTACGCAGTGGTCAAGAATCAGCTTCACTTTCTGGAGAAAGGCATTATTTAAAACAATTGCATCAGAAGACATGCATACATTTTAATTACACATCTTCTTTCACTTAGCAGAAGGAGAAATAGTAACTAGCAATTACAGTGAGGGAAACTTTATTAAAATAATAAAACACTTCCACATACTAATCTGGAAGGTTATTGCACATGGCATATAACTAAGAAGCCACACAAAAGAAAGATCTGACTCTCCCATGACCATGCCAAGTCACTGACGCAGTGGAGAGAAGATGGGATTTTCTTGGGGTTTTCTGCCAAATCAGAACCCAAAGAGACAATCTAGCTGAGGAGATGGTCTGGTCTGCAAGGCTAGCCATCCCAGATCCTGACTTGACCCCCAGCTTGTCTTATGGTGGAGAGGAAGGGGCAACCTAGCAGATGCCTTCACCAGTTTTATAGCAGCAAGACTATGTTCCCCTTACACAAAAGCCTATCTATGTCCTTTGCACTGCATGTCTAAAGTCACTTGGTGGGACAGAGTTTCCCACTCAGAGAAATTAAGGATATTTCACCCCATAAGTCCAGGAAGCATTTAGCCCCTGGATTATCACAACTCTGTGGTCTAAGTGATAGATAGGATCATTAAACAAAGAAAACAGCAGGGCCAATTTCAAGCTTCTCCAGGCCTTGTTTTGCTTCACTCCCTCAAGACTAAGGGGGCATCTAAGAGGACAAACTTCAATCCATGCTGTCAAAATGAAATGAAAAAAATTAAAGAGTGATTGATGAAAGAGCTCTACAGAAGGGAGGAAGGATTCAGAAGGGATAACCAGGTACATGAATTACTGCTTCCACAGGACTGTCTCTATTTACACTTGCCTTTCCATCATGTATAATTTTTATATTGTGCCAGCGGCGATCTGCAACGTTAACTTTTCGTGACAGCTGCAGGAAAAGTTCACCAGAGCTGTGGCTCACGGTCAGCGACGGAACACCACCAGAGAGCTCTGCAAAGAAAAGACCTTATTGGATACCCATGAACCATATTCCCACTCAAACCCAACTGAACCAGTTGTTACAGTTAGGAGGAGTTCTTTAGCCAGTTTTAAAAAAATCCAGCTTCTAACACAGTGACACAGGACACAAACTGGGCACACTGGCAAACTGTTCTGCATTTTCCTTATTCTCCAAAAGTAACTTTATGAACCTTTTTTTGAAAAAATCCCTATCAATTGTAAGTAGAATCTCAACTTCACACAAACACAAGGAGTAAATACTCTTTAAGCTGCTAACCTAACCTAATGCAAGGAAATCTTCCCGTAGACCAGGATGCCCTCGTGCCACTGGTCCGTGGTACAACAGAAGGCCATCAGCGACTTCAGTGATAAACTCTAAGGAGATGCGGCTCTCAAAGCAAGGCTTAAGAGGAGGGAACCAAGCATAACCGTGGCCTCTGAAGCTGTGTTTTGTCTGCTGGCAGTCTGGTCCATGGAAATTTGCAGAACATTTGCACCTATTAAAAAAATAAATAAAAGCAAAAATCCACCATTCAAGCAGAAGTCAAGAAGAGCTCTTCTCACAACAGGACTCTCCACTTTAAACACAGGAGCCTACATTGCCTAGGCCATAGTGAGGGTTAAGGATTAGCAAAACTCCCATCCTAAAATATTTCCTACTGACTTGTTTCATAGAATCATAGAATGGTACAGGCTGGAAGGAACTTTAAAGACATCTAGTTTCAACCCCCCTGCCATGAGCAGAGACACTTTCCACTAGACCAAGTTGCTCAAAGCCTCATCCAGCCTGGCCTTAAACACTTCCAGGGAGGGGGCATCTACAACTTCCTTGGGCAACCTGTGCCAGTGTCTCACCACCCTCATATTCAAGCAGCAATGGCAGATGGAGACCTTTACTATGACAGGGGCTTCTGCAGCTTCATTCTGAGCCCTGTCACCCCTATCAAAGTGTGTTCTTAGAAGAGGCAGACCAGTTGTTTCTGCTATCCAATGTTGGGATGACCATTTTTAGAAAAACATGCTTAAGGTTTACCTTCTGGAAGGGGACCAGGCTCATTCTGAGCTACTATAACTGCAGAATCACAGAATGGTAGAGATCATCTAGTCCAACCCCCCTGCTAAAGCAGGTTCACCTAAAGCTGGTTGCACAGGATCGCATCCAGGTAGGCTTTGAATATCTCCAGAGAAGGAGACTCATCATTTTTTTTTTTATAAATACCACTGTTTTTTTCACCTTCATATCATATCTATGATATGTCATTTTTGCAGAAAAAATGAGGCAAGGAACGTAGGCAGGAGGTTATTAAGTGACATATGTGACATGACTTAAATGTTTAACATTAATGTAGGTTGCACAAAACAAGAGCATTTTGCAGGATCATATTAAAGGAACCAGTTTAGCCTGCAAACTTCCCAAGGTTTTCCCAGAGACTATGATGCACCTAAGTATCTACCTGAACATAGAGGTTTGTTTGCAAGACCTGTACGTGACGTATAAAAAAACCTCAGATATGACACAATGAGAAGACATGCACTGACATCTCCCCAAGCTTCCAGCCCTCCTCCTTACAGACTGAACTAGAAGCACTTTGTTTGCACACCAGACAAAGCTTCACCAACCTGTAGCCCAAATCAGTATCCAGACATGTGCCACCATTGAGACAGGGGTTTGTCTGGTATGAGGAACAGGAAAGATGAGGACTCTCCCGAGCTGCACAACCACACAGGGCACGACTCAGGACTGTCACGGACACCAGTGAAACGCTTCCAGCTGTGGTTATGGTTGGCATATGAGTCTGTTCATTCTTGCTGATGCATCCGCTGCTATGAGTGCAGTTTGCAGTCACGCATTCATCAATGCCAATCTGGGTGATATTTATATCCAAGATGTTTTCCAGCTGTGGAGAACAATTGGTTGCATTCATCTGACTTTTCCACAGAGAGGAAGCTTACAACAACATCCATGAAAAGCCCATCTTACTCATTCTCAAAACTGGTTGCTGTGCGACTTCCTTCCAACATCTACCTCAATCTATCCAGCCAAAGGCAGCTCAGCCTGGCATCTGTTAAGGCCAAAGCCTTGGGATAAGTCAATTATAGTGCAAGTAAGCACTTAGAAGACAAAAATATTGTCATATTCATCATAAGCTAAGTGGATAAATTTTAATCTCTGATGGTTGTGATGGATTATTCACATAGCATCTGATCTGTATTTTTAATTTGGACTTCTGTCTTAAAAATATTGGGAAGGGTGGACAGGCACTAGGCAATGGAGAAATATCTTTTCTGGCAAGAGTAAGTTGGTACTGCAGCACTGATTTTAAACATAACTCGTATTTCAGCCTCTGTATACCAACAGACACATTTCCAAGAGAGCAAGACATTTAACTGTGATCAGTACTTTTTTTTTTTTTTGCAAGAGGGGCAGGAACTTTACTAAATTGTCAATGCACATTTCCAACCTAGTTTTCCACTGGAGAATTATTATTTTACTGCTTTGCCCTCTCAACTCAAAAATCTGGAATTTTTGACTGGTTTGTGATTTTCAGCTACAGGACATTTCTGTGTAAAAGACTATAAATTGAAATATTAAGACACCATGTCAAAAGCCAACAGCCAAAACCATCCTTTATACAGAGTTTAAAGGTCTTTTCAAGAGGAAAAATACGTTCACTTTCCTAAAAGCTCACTGTATTTGGGTGACTTAATATGTATTTATAGGCTGGCTTTTAAAACATTAATATTTGAAACTTCTAATGTAAGTGTTAAAGGACTGTTTGACTTCACTGATTGAAATGATCCATTTTTCTCACACATTACTTCCTCAGTCATTCTAAATACGTGCATTCACTAGGCAATGGATATTATCTGAAGAGACACAATGAGAAGGTGCTGTGTTTTCATATATAGTATGGACACTTACCCATGCTCTGGAGGCTGCTACGTTGCCGTTAAGTTTTTCTGCTTTATAATAGGGTGGACCATAAACTGCAAACCAAACATCAACCCCTTGGGTTTGACTGGCACTATTTAATACACTGAAAATGTGAACGTTTTCAAGTTGGACTGATATAATTTCTGAAAGCAGCTTCTTCATCTGGTAGTATTTACTCTGTTTTTCAGGGGATTGGGATATGAACTCCTCGGGAGTGATATCTGTAACAAAAGTTAAAAACCTGACAAACACATATCTTGCAACTGTTGTAGCAATAAAAGAGGAGCACCACAGGATAATATTGCACTAAACTGCAAATTGAAGAGTATTTTAATTTTTAGAGTCTGAAATTTTCCATGCTGGCTTCTGCTCAGGGTTTGTGTTTTCAAGCTTTTTGACTCTTATTAATTTTTTTTTCATTCTTTTAAATCAGAAACATGCTTAAGATTTTACTTTTTCACAACGATTTAAACAATTTGGTGAATATCAGGCAGAAACTTGTTGAAATAAAATTTTTTTCTGAAATATAAACTGCTGTTTTGTTAAAAAGTTGGTGTAGAAATTGTATCTTTATCTTCTGCATCAGACAAGCATTTCTCGCTGCCTTTTTTCTCCATAGATACACCTTCACAAGCAGTGTCAGAGGACCATGCAAACAAAGATGTAATTTCAAACCCTTACCTAGAAAACTATTAATGCTCTTCTCATGTTTAAGAGCATTAGAATTCTAATTAGCACAACAGCAATAGTAAAGAGGTAGAATTCAGTATTATGATCCTAATGTACTTCATCACATTGTTTACCTTTTATTCGTATAGAACCAGCATTATGGAGGGCATCATCTTTGATTTCCTTCACTATAACCTTTACAGTTGAGACAACATCTGGCCACACTCCATCAATGACTCTGACTCTTATGTTGTATGTTCCTGGTGGGGTTCCTTCTTTAATAGTCAGCAAACCTGAGTTATCATTAAGGATAAAGTACCTGTAATAAGAGTTAAGCCAAGGAACAAGCTATGAGAAGCTCAAAAGCTAAGTAGCAATTACCATCACTGCCATTTTTTCTGATCCACTTTATTTTGGGAAAGCTATCAAAGAAAGCAGATGTGTTCCCTTATGAAGGGACAGGGAAGAACAGAACTTTTTTATATTGCCTTCTGTTGGCTCCTAATGACTCTTCGCTAGTATATCAAGAAGGTTTCTTCCTGCTTCTATGCCATAGGAACTGTGTAGGAAGACTCAGGCTGCTATAACTGTAACTTTGGAAACAGGGCAAACTCAGAGTTTAGATACATTCATTGAGAGTGACAACTCTGTCAAAATCTCTGAATGGCACATGTACATCTCAGCCCCAGTCATGATACAGACACTTCGGTGTGAACACATCTAATACAAGTAAGGTCCTAAAACCAGTGGTGACATGGAAATACCAACTGTCCAGGAGCCTGGAGGAAGGAAGTTAGTGAGTATTTTTTCTGTAGTGGCTCACTGATACTAATTATGGGTATGACTGTGAACAGGAATTTGGAATGGTGTTCTAGCCCTTCAGGCAATGGGAAGTTGAAGGGTTTGACAGAAAGCATTATTTGCTGCGGCCTCATGCTCAGAAGGGCTTTTGGAGAGTTACACACAAGCATCTAACCAACAAAATGCTTCTGCACACTTGTTTTCAAAAAAAGGTAGTTTAAATACTTTTTGTTTTTGTGTGGGGGCATGTTTTGCATTCATTTCACCCAACTTCCATTTTTCTCTCCAAATACCTTGATGTTTTTCCTTCAAATTGGTAGATTTTGTGATCCCAGTCGTCATCATCAGGGGCATGAACCTGGCCCAGTACTGTCATAGGGAAGATACCTAAAACAACATACCATAAGTTGCACGGTCACATCTCTCACACATACACAAACAAGTTGTCCATTCAAAGTTTACTGGTTTGAGTCTAAAACCTCTACAAAAATAGTTATGATGGTTCCCAAGAGATGTGCACCAGTCTGCAAATACCACATGGTGTCCTGCTTATCGGGTGTTTGCTGTATGGCTACATAGATTGAATTCAACAGGTGGTTGCAATGAAAAGCAGACGAGAAGGAAAAAAGACAAGCCACCTCTGAGGAAACATGTAAGAGATATTCAGAAATTACATCAGAATTACTCATTTTCATTATTTTGGCTGCAGTATCCAACGAACTTACAGAGTGGTTTAGATTTGGATTTAGTGGTTTAGATAGGGATTAGAGTTTGGCAGACTAAACAACCAAAATGCTGACTGGTTTATTATAAAGGGCACAAACCAATAACAATTTGGAGGAATAGATAGAGAGAATGTCCAAAATGCAGTAACCAGGCTTATTTTGAGTAGGTGGTAAGACTTTGGGGTGAGATGGAAAGCAGCTCGTATTCTGCTGGTTTTGCATCCTCTCAGCAAAGCTCACAAATCAGTATTTTTTCTTTTACAAAAGCTATTTCTGAAGGAAAGATCCACAGGTATCTGAATTAATATACCTACTGAACTAAGAATCAAGGACACAGAAGAAAAAATCTGGGACTTCACCTTGTGAAAGGGAACAGCACAAATGCTGAGAACTGAGAAACAGAATGCAAAAAGGAGAGAAAACTGTACCTCTCCTGCAGCTGTGGCAACTTTAATTGGATATTTTGCAGGAGACAGTATATAGGATGCTCTGGTGATTGACTCCCACATTATATCAATTTAACATACAACATGGTAGTAGACTTCTGATTCTCTGTCCTTAATAATTTAAACAAAGATCTGAAGACTTCAACAGTCCCTCCCAGAAATTAACAGTAGAGATGAGTTTAACCTTTAAAGAGGCAACTAAAAGGGAATTCAGGCTTAGTGAAAAGATCAGGTACTCAGGCTACAAGCAGAGTTTCTCAGCAAATGGCAACCAGACTTGGTTTCAACTTCACAATAAGCTAAACTTTAGAGTGAGCATGCAACAGGCAGTTTCAGTACAAATAAATGGTCAACAGCATCTACTGAGAAGTAGTTTGTAGTGTGCCCACAACAGACAATCTATTTAATGTGCTATCAAACCATAGGAAACACAGCAGAGTAGAAGAGGAAGGAATGACCTGAGCCTACATGGATGCAGGCACACCTAACTCTTTTTACCTGTGTGGTTTATTTTGCTGTTGGGCTTATTATGTGAGGACCCTTTACTGCAAGAGAACTGCTAGCTAATTCCCACAGGAAGAAGGGAAAGGTGGTTTCTCTCACACTACCTGCAGCCAACATTCACAGAAAATGTAACAGCATTTGTCAGTTGAAGGCTCCTATGAATGTTTCAGGCAGTTTACATATGAGCTCAGCTTAAGAACTGAATTAACTAAAACTGAATTCAGTCTGGAGGAAGAAAAAGGTTTAAGGAGGAGGAAGATTCTCAGTATTCAGACTCATCACATCTCAGCAATGTTATTAATTTGTTATTCCCCCCAACCCACCCCAAAATGTTAATGTTGATGGAAAACTGCATCTGAAAACAAGAGACCATTACTTAAATTTGATAGAAACATCCAGAGAATAGCAGCCAGCTATGCTGTTCCTTCAAGGCTGGCTAAGTTTCTTCCACATACCAAGTGGCCCACAGTCCTGTGCCCCACACACCTGCTGCTCTCTGGTAGGGCTTAAGCAAACTTCAGTAGCAGCTCTACTAAGATCTTAGCTTATGTGGAACAGGACAGAGTCCTCCTGTGAATCTCACAGCTGCTCCTTTGACGTTACTGTCACACTTGGAAGCAAGCATCAGGGAGTGATTTACCATCATAGCTGTAAATGAGACATTCCATGTAGCCAGCAGAATGAGGGTGGTCATTTTGGTCCCCAATATTCACGGTCAACGTGTTGGTGGAGCTCATTGGTGGGATCCCACTGTCCGTGATCAGGATGGGCAGGTAGAACACTTTCTGCACTTCCCTGTCAAAGGTACGCAGTGCAGTGAGCAAGGCACTTCCATTGTGGAAGTCCTGCAAGTTGAAGTTAGTCAGACTATCAAAATCACTGAGAAGATGAAAGGAGAAAGGTGCTCCGTTAACAGCAGTGTCTCGGTCCTTAGCGTACAGCAATGTAGAGGTCTCATTCATTTGGATGACCTGTGGAGAAGCTGTGTTTTCCCAGACCACTGGGTTATAGTGAGCCTCGAACTCTGGCCCATTATCGTTTACATCCTGCAGAGTCACTAAAACAGTGGCACTGCCAGTCAGAGGGGGCTGCCCCATATCAGTGGCAATGACAGTGAGCTGGTATTGAGTCACTGTCTCATGATCCAGCAGTCCTGCAACCATCACCCACCCATCACTAGCCACAGAGAACTGGCCACCTGGGTCAGACTTGTTTAGCAGGTGGAAAGAAAACCTTCCATTCAGACCAGAATCCAAGTCAACAGCAGAAACCTGAACAACTTTGGTGCCAACTGGCGCATCTTCCCCCAGTCCGGCCACTTCATAGAACTTGGGGTAGAAGACAGGAGCATGGTCATTGGAGTCCTCCACATAGATCACACAGTGAGCAATGCTGAAGAAATCCATGTCCTCTGCTTTCACAGTCAAATTGAACACCCTCTCATGAGGCTTCTCAAAGTCAATCCGCTTCCGTAGCCGGATAAACCCACAGTTGTTCACTTCATCTGTCTCTATGGAGAACTTGCGGTCATTGTCCCCATCAATGATGCTGAACATCACCATGGCATTTTCTCCCTCATCTCTGTCCACAGCAGACACCACTGCCACCTCAGTGTTAATACTTGCATTCTCAGAGACAAATGCTGTGTAGATCCTTTGCAAGAAGACTGGAGCATGATCATTTACATCAGTCACCAAAATAGTGGCGGTGCCTGTCCCAGTGAGCCCTCCTCCATCTCTAGCCTCAACTACTACAAGGTACTTCTCTTCCTTCTCCCGATCCAGGGACCCAAGCACTGTATAGATAGTGCCGCTAACTGAGTCAATTGAGAACAAGTTCAGATTAATTTCATTTTGGACGTTCTGAATGATGCTGTATGTGAGCACAGCATTCATACCAGCCTTTGGGTCGTCGAGGTCCACTGCTGTCATTTCCATGACAGGAGTGTCTGCTGGAGAATCCTCTGGGACATGGCCCATGAAACAGCCATCCAACACACAGAGGAAAAGGGGTGCGTTGTCATTCACATCCCTCACTTTTATGATCACGTCTGCAAAGCCCGTCAGTCCTTCTCCACTCTCATCTGTTGCAAGAACAAGAAAGCGCCATGTTGATCGCTTCTCACGGTCTAACCTTTTATTTGTGCTGATCTCGCCTGTGTTCTCATTGATGCTGAACTCGCTACTGGCTCCCTGTCCGTGCAGGGTATAGTTAATGGCATTTTGATCAGCTGCTTGGTCGGGGTCTGTTGCAGAAACCTGGAACAAGCCACAGCAAGTAAGTGTTTATGTAAAAGAAGAGGGGAAATCACTGTTCTTTCGTTAATGGCCGTTGGTGTTGTGCAGGCTAAATAAATAGCATGCATTTTAACAGCAAACATCTATTGGTTTGAGTCATTCAGGCCAAGTACTCTTTCAATAAACATCATACACAGCCTAAAGAAACGAAAAGATCACATTTAGACAGAGGAATATATTCTACTTCCCCATATATTTTGGAAAGAGGATATAGCTGCAGGAAGAACCAAGTGGAAGTAATAACAGCTCTGCTGAGCACGTTTCATGTGAAACTCTTTGGAGCTGGAATGCAAAGGCAAAAAGGGGCTGTCTCTCCCTGAGTGAACAGAGGCCTGTGAAAACATGGTGGCCATGTATCCAAGCTGATTATCAGCACAGGCTGGAGAGAACCAGCTCTTGATTTGCACCCAGGGATTGTTTGGGAGACTGCTAGTTGGGCCAACCAAGCAGTCCTCATGCCAGGGACAGCTCTAACAACAAAACAATGATGATGATCGAGTTCCAGAGTCAAAGAACAATCCCTGGTAATATTTATTTGTCAATATAAATGTAACCAAAGAATCTGTGACTTAAATGCATGAGGTACACGTGCCAGCCAAGCTACACTTATGTAGTTGCTCAAAATATGCTAACTCTGCTTTGTAAAGGAAAGCTATCACATTTTTCAACATTTAGAATCACAGAATCATAGAATCATTTCGGTTGGAAAAGACCCTTAAGATCACCCAGTCCAACTGTTATTTATGCTGGTCAAGGGAACAAGCCCATCATGCAAATTCAACCGGGCTTTCTTTCTTCTCTTCTTTAGAGAAAGTTGCTAGCTAAATCCTAACACCTGGATCTGTGTGAACGGATGGGATTGAGTTGAACAAAAACTCAGGTTTTGCCCTGCTTTGTGCAAATTGCTTTACCTTTAGGACAAGTACAGGCAGATCTGTGAGCTCCTCCAAGACACTGCCCTGGTATTCATTCTGAGTGAAGACTGGTGCTTCGTCATTCTTATTGATGACACTGATGATGATAAGAGTGTGGTTTTCCCATTTTCCATCAGAAGCTACAAGCCGGAGCTCATAACGTTGTTCTTGTTCATAATCCAGAGGCTGAGCAATGAATACAGTTCCAACCTCAGGTTCCACATCAAAAACTCCTTTCACATTTCCTGATGTGATCTGATACCTTAGTTTGGCATTTGCACCTACAAAAGAAAGCAAATGACCAATGCCTGCCCACTCACTGAATGCTCAAATCCAGTTATACACAGTGAACATGTATCTAAGAGAAAACTTATTTGCTCAGTGTGTGTGGGAGAAAAAACACAGACACAGTCATAAACAGAAGGATCCATGTATGTAATTTGTGCACAGTTGATTGGGGGTTGGGTCTGCATTTATATTTACAAATACAATTTGCAGTCACAGACAAGCACCTGTTTATTGATGAAAGAATTGGTGTCTCTAATTTATTGTGCATTCATTTGCCAATAATAAAAAAAGTAACATGCTATTAAAATACTGCAAGCTATTTTTGCTCAATGTTTCCTAAGCCTCCTATTTCAAATTCCCATATTCCTTAACAACTTTTTTTTTTTAACCACTGGATGGTGCTAAAATATAACAGAAGCCCTCTATTTTGAACAAGAAATCATCTCAGAAGAACATTCCACCTGTACAACAGCAGTTGTTTGATTGCTACAAAACATTTAGGAATAAAAAAAAAAGGAAAGAAAATTGCTTGGTGCTTCATGCTTACTTATTTAAAAAGGAAAAAAAAAAAGCATCACATTGCATTCCAGGACAAAAAGTCATTTCCCAAATTAAAAAGATGAACTGCCAGGAATACATAGAACATTCAGCATTTTAAGTTGTGAGTTGTTTATGGATGAAAAGACTAGAGCAACATGGATGGCAAGGAAGTCAAAAGGCTGTGCTCAGCATTGTTTAGTGCTTGGAAGAGCTTGGCTGCCTTTGCAGCCTGCCTTTCAGCATCACTTGCCAGCTGCTTTCGCTAAATCCTCTCAAGCACACCAGTAGGGTTTAAATGACCTCTTTACTTCTCCATCACATGTACTGAGGGGCACAGGCATTTCAGCCCTGCCACCTAAAGGAATGGTCAACTCTCATCTGCTCCCAGCGACACACATCTCTGGGTGACAGACCCCAAACAGGCACAACACACCAGCTTGCTTTCTTTTTTACCAACGAGTTTGTTTTCCTCCAGCAAGTTGAGCTGGACCTACTCATGAAAGGAGCAAAAAGCCACAGCAGAAGCAAAGACAGGAACTGACTGTTGGTGCATGCTGTTGGGCTGGCTCAGCTCCTCTGGTCTCACTACACTGTAGGGGCAGTTTTACACCATCAGAGCTGATTGATGTAAGTGTGAGCCCAAAAAGAAGGTCTGGCTTTCTCTTTTTTCCTGCCTTATTCCTGCCTTCCTTTCTGGCCATGTCATCCCACATTTTCCGCTCTTTGACAAATTCTTCCACAAGCAGATTCGACTCATTAATTCACCAAAAAGCACACAGGATTGGTTTCCATGCAATAGTGATAAGTAAAACTGGCTCACAGGCAGCTCTGGAGAGCACAGGAGTCAGCACAAAGCAATCACATGCTCAGGAGTGAGTTTTTGTGTTACGTCTTATGAAGTTACAGCAGGGTTATGACTCCAGGTGATTTCATTCTGCCCCAAAGAGGTTGCCAGCTAGCTTTGACCTTTGCACTGGTGAACCTGAGCATCTAATGAAAGAAAATGCTCCCATGTGCCCAGAACTTCTCTCCTCACTTTCACAAACGCTTGAAATGCTTAATCATCCCCTGAATGCACAGATCTGTTTGCCTGTGAAGGAAGTAACCCTACACACAACACACAGTAATACTAAGAGGACAGAAAAACATGCAGGGCCCACTCACCCTCATCTTCATCATGCGCTGTTGCTGTCACAACAGGACTTCCAACATCCCTGTCCTCATCTATGCTGACCTCATACACTGACCAAGGAAATGCTGGAGTGTTGTCATTCACATCACTGACAAAAATCCTTACGTAGGCTGTGTCTAGGAAGGAGATGCAAGAGGAACACACAGACTAGAAATGGCAGAGGTGGAATACCTCATCATATTCCAGACAACCCACATACCCCCCAAGTCTAGAAAAGTTAAGGAACCCAATCTCTTATATCTTTTACCCAACAAATAATTCCTTACTAGTTTTACCTGTGTTGGGCTGCCCATGAACACCAGGTCTAGCAGAATCTGAAGAGTCCTGAGACTGAACTTCAATCAAGTAAGAGGCTCTTTTCTCTCTGTCAAAAGATGCACGGGTGGAAATAATTCCTGTCTCAGGCTCAATGGTGAAGAACTGGTAATCCTCACTAGCATCTTTCAATATTAAGTAGTGAACCTAAAAAGGAAATAAATAGTTAGGAGAGCTTGCATTTTCCACTTTCATTTGTATGTCCAACTGCTGTAACCTTACTCTTCCCTAGTAGCCTCCTGGGTCTGTCTGCAAAGTAGCAACACTCTGAGGAAAGATAATTCATCTGGATGTAATTTTTCTAAGTCTTCTGCCCATTTTGATATAAAAAACCCCAGAATCCTCAAACAGAAGAACATCTGTACTAGCGATATCAAGGCCCATCAAGCCCATTATTTAATCTCCAACACTGGGCAGTAAGAGCAGCTAAGGAAGATCATGAATAACAGAAGGACAGAGAAAGTATGGAATTACATTTTCCCTGGTGTCTCCTCAGCTTCTAGCAACTCACTGTGCTTCTGATCTCAAAAAAAAAAAAAAAATGAGGCTGAGAGTTTGGGTCCCATTCAACAGGACTGAACAAATAAAAATCTCCACTGATGAAAGCTATCTACATTTTCCCTTTAATAAAGGTTTGGTTTCCTCCTCTGAAAAAAACCCACCAACATTTCCACCCCCACCCCCAAGACAAGCCCAGAGCACTGCCAGGCAGTTCTACCACACAGGTTACTCTTCAGAAGTTGCAAAATTACAGTTACAGAACAGCGGATCTCTACTAGTAACCAGAGTTCCCTCCCAGAAGTGCTAGTCAGATTTTTTGAAAAGGCTCAGAAAGATGCACAGAAAATGAGCAGTGTCCTTCATAACACTGCTTTTTCCTAGTGTTGGGTTATTATGACAATGATGGTCAAATGTTGGTTTCACAAACCATTTGACCAATGATGACGAAATGAAATGTTATTTAATTGACCATATTTAAATGTCTGTGTTTAACTGACCATAATGACTGATGGTCAATTAAATAATGAGCTGGAGAGGCAAGAGTCTGGAAACATGTTCTGCAGCCACCTCCACTTGTCTTGCCATGGGAACAACTCTGAGAATCACGCAGCAGTGCTTTGTCAAAGTTGCTGGATCATTGTGGTAAGAATACTTAAAACTAATTTGACATTCTTAAGTAATTATAAGTGTATGAATGGACTACATGTAACAGCAATATTTGTGTGAAGGATTCTGTCTTCAGCGTACACCTGAGGAAATCTTTACACTTTCAGGTAAAGAGACTTGCAAACTACTCACAGCAGTACTGGCTGTGGAAAAAAAGTCTCGTGCACAAGCCAAGGTGAGCTGCTATGATGCAGGATCCCAAGATCGTGATCAGCATCTTTTCTGCCTGCATCCCATATTATGCACACCAGGCATATGCTAGACAAATGCGTGACAAGTGCTGCAAGAAGTGTTTGTGGCTCATTACCCTGTCATCTGCTGTCTGTGCACATTCTCGCTAATTACAATATTAAAACTTGCCTATTGGGAGTAAAAGAATTGGATGAAAGGTCAAACCTCTCCATGTAGGCCAGAATCCAAGTCCGTAGCTAACACCTGAACCACAGATGTGCCAACATCAGCTCCTTCTGGCACAGACACCTCGTAGTTAGAAGACATGAAGAATGGAACATTATCATTGACATCTGCAAAAGGAGGTGATGGAGATCACAGTGAGAAAATGTTTGAAGACTTTTTTTAATGTATTTTTTCCCACAATCGTACTTTTGCTTTGAGAAAGAACTCACGTTGCTCATAGTAAGAAGCAATCCTGCTTTGAGTCTTCCCATTTTCATGGCAGCTGTCAGGAGGCATTTTATAGACATTAAGCAGTTTCTGGGAGACAGTGGCCTGCTCTCAGCTAAGAGACTAGCTAATGATTCAACCATATAGAAAGTCCATGAATGCCAGGACCAGGAGGCCTTTCATCCACAGTCTGTAAAGAGCTGGTTATCTCCAGCAGTTGTTAATTTCAGCATTTTATTAAGAGATGATTAGCATACAATGGTAATTAAAATTGCAGACACTATAGAGGAATAGCTCAGATCTGACCTGCTCTGCAGCTGTGTAAGTGCCAGGGATGTGGTGGGATTGTGGTGCAGGTGAGGGAGAGGAAGGGCTGAGGGAGAGGTAGCGGTCTCCTGCAGTCAGGTCAGACTAGGCACAATGAAAAGCCATGTTAAGCTTATATCAGTGCTGGTCTTGCTTGTCCTCCTTGCCTTAACCCTGTAGAGACCTAAACTGGAAAAAATATGTCCAGTGTTCTGAAGGGCCAGTTTCTGACCCATTTTTTTCCCGAAAATTGCTGTGTAGGACCAGGTGAGCACAAGGGACAGCAGGAGAACTATGGCAGCACTGACTCAGATCCATTTAAACCGCTCTGGAATCAAGTCCTCCTGCTCAACCCATGACAAACTAGTCCAGTGTTCCTCTTTGTCTGTAAGATGATTAAACTCAGAAACGCTGCATAGTCCCCTACATCTTTGCACTTTTTACAGTTTAATAGCCACGTTTCAAGAAAGTAATTTTCCTGTGTTGTGGCACAGTGCCAAAACAAGAGGAGCTGTAATGACAGTTTCTCAGATCCATCTGTCTTTATGAAGAGCAGACGTAATTCTTAATATCTCATTCTGCAAACCCTTAAGCACACATTTAGTTTTACTACTGCCACATGACTCCATTGATTTTGACACACAACTATTTGCAGCACCAATGTCTTAAATTACTTTTTTTATTCTAAGTTATTGGTGTGAGCCCCCGTAAATCCCAATTGTCTCTCTTACATGCATAATAATCTGTGAAAACTTATTTTCTAACAGGCTTTTTTTTCATATTTTATAGAAGAGAATATGTCCTGTTAGAGATAAGTTTCAGCAAATTCACTAAGCAAGGTAAGAAAAGATACTATAAAAGACTTTATTTTCTGTGGGCTTGTGCATAAATAAAGGACAATTCTGCAGATGAAACTTTCTAGTGGTTATTTCTCTCTTAGATGTGTTTAACTTGCTTCTTCCTCCCACTAATGCATATATGTGTGTGTAAACCTTTTTTTTCATATGACATACTATGTTATTGAAAAAGGATTTTTGCTTGTGAGCAAAATGAAGTTTCTGACAAATTCTGATAGCACTATAGGAAAAATCCCTTGGGACAGAGTCCAAAATCTACAATGAGGCTCAAATCCTGACTTGAAGCACACTTGCTCTACAAACCTAAAGGTTTTTGCCTTGGTGGACTATGGAAGAGAGGACAATGCTGTGATAAAGTGAAGCAAGGAAGTTGGATTCCTATTGTCAGAGCCCTTGTATTTTAATTTCTGCAGTTTTAACCTCAATGTTAATTCTGAATTTAACAACAAGCTCTCTCAACTTGGTTTCTGTTTGATATCTGTCTGAGCTATTTATCTATTATTCCCTGGATGAGGGAATAGAGTGCACTGTCAG